TGCTTTGTTATATATCATCATGTAAGATGTTGTCTGGAGAAGAATAGCAAGAAATTAAAACCCAATAGTAAAGCTGAAATATTTTATTAAAGGTTAATTGAGAGTTAATTGAGGTTAGGGTCTTGTTACAGAACCTTTCTATGAAGTTAAATTCTTAGCACTGCTTTATGAAGAGAGAATAATGATCAGTAATGTCAATATCTAGAGATCAAATCCTTCACCAACATATAATTTATAATTTGTTTGAGAAACTCTCCAAAATTGTTCCTAATTTTGGATCAGAAAAGAGGAGGGAGGAATTAGGTGGAGTAGGATGGAGGGAAAGGCCTTAATGAGAACATTTGCACAGAAGAAGAAAAGAGGGAGGGAAGGGATATTCAAGTGGTGTGGGAAGAGGAGGAATAAAGAAAAGAAAGAAGGGAAATATAAATAACAAGAGAAAAAATAGGGCAGTGTGAATCCAGTTAAAGTATTAGCAGATACATGTGTGATAAAATGTTGGAAAGCCTGTGAAAAAAACCCTGGTAGAAGAGAATCCAACAAAACAAGGTAAGACCCTGTATATGCACACACAATAGAATAATGCTTACATAATCACACACATGGTGATTCTGTCATGGGAAATATGAAATAAGATATATTGTATCTCCCAAGCTGTTAACTTTATGATATGCTGAGGTTTTGTTTTTTAGAAATCAAAGAATGAGTCCTAGGAATGACAGAGGTAAAAAGGAGGAAGATATTGATTGATGGGAAAGCTCCTGAGGGGGAGGAGGGGTCTGGAGTGCATAGCCAAGGACCCTACTTTACAGAGAAGTTTTATAAGGTGAAATGCACGTGGACACAACCTGGGCCACAGCCATGAACATCTAATAAGGTTACAAGCACAGTCACTTAGGTAGTGGTGGTCCAAGTGGGAAGCGAGTCACATAGCAAGCAAGGATGGAAAGAACAAGGACTTTCCTAGGAGGCAGTGGGTCCAGAGGTCTCTGGTCACCCCCCAGATGCCTATCTGTACTTCACTAAGCACAGTTCTTTGAAGAAGCATGTGGGTCTGGTCATCTTGTCTCCATATTTGGCCTGGTTTTCAGCCAATGTGCAGCTGTGGTGTGTTTCACCTTTGTCCTGGCCCTCTTGTGGAATTGGCCCTATCTGATTGTCTATAGTATTTTTACCTAGCTCATCTACGTGTAATACACCGACCTCTGATGAAGTATCCTGTGCTGTCATGAGGGGCCATGGGGCAATGAGTGCTCTAGCTACTTCCAGCTAAATGGGGTGTAGTTTTGGTTGACACTCAGGGATACCTGTCAGAAGGACTAGCTAAAGGTCCTTGATAGCCATCAGGTGTTTCCATCATGGGTAGGCATATAGCTTTAAGCCTGGAGGAGATAAATCCTGAAAGACAGTTAGAAATACATGGCCAAACAGTAAGATCAACAGGAATATTATGAGTATAGCCAACAGATATCTCCACCAGAAAGAGCTAGTAATAGCCTTCCATAGGGAGGATAAGGAGAAGTCCCAGGGAATCTCAGAATCTGATATGGCCTTTACCTGAGGTTTAATATCTTGAACAGCCATTGAGATCTTAGCAGAAGTGTCAGGAATGTATGCACAACATTCAGCTTTTACAATTGCACAGATACCTCCTTGTGCTGCTGCTAAGATAACTAGTGCCATTTTTTTCTGGAGGACAGCTTGCCTCATTAATTTTACCTCTTCATTTAAAAGAGAGAGGCCATTTGAAGTATCATTTAAGGCCCATTGAGTGTAATTAGTTAAGGTCTCAATGTGTTGCATACCATCTTCTAATTGTAAGACAGGGACAAAGATGGAGGCTAAATGATCATACCAGTGAAACACACTTCTAGACCATGGATGCTGTAGGTGGGGTAAGTTAGCAGGTCTGTCAATATGTCTGACATGCCTGCCTCGTAACCATGCAAATCCCAGTGTGGATCTCCCTATCCATCCAGGTGATGGCCAGAGCCACAAATTGCTTCTTTGGGACCAATGAATGCTATGGGGGACTTCCCATCTAAAATCAGGGTGATACAGTGTATATACATTGTTCGAGGGCTGTCCATCCCAGGAACTTAGTAGAGTTAGGCCAGTGAGAATAGGAGTGATTTTTTGTTCCCAACATAATGGGGCTTTTCTACTAAGCTGTCCTATAGTAGGAATTAACCACATATAATCATCCCATATCCATCTTTATATCTGTGATTGTTGGCTCTCTCATGATGGAGTCTTCATTTTTACATAATAGGGGGTCATTAGTGCTTGTAGTGCCCCTGTGCTTCAGTGGCACTTTTAGAAAATCTTCTATTCCACTCAGGATCATTAAGGGTGGAGCTTATAGGCCATTTGGCAACTTTGTAATGGTGGGCTAAGCTACAAATCACTGAGCTGTCTCATGCCTCATTTATATAGTTTTGGAGATTATTCCAATCATCTCCTTGAAGTGAGAATACCCACCAAGGAAGTCCTGATGTACTTGACAAGGGGAGCAGGCCATATATCCAGCAAGATGTTTGTTGTAGTGATGTTGCATATCCCTGTGCCCATATTAGGAAAGAATTGCATTGTCCCTTAAGTCGTTAGGTAAATAGTAAAAGGGTCAGGGATAACATCTTAGGTTACTCATCTGAGGGCTTGGCCTTTTTTTTGACCAAGAACATTAAGTCTTCTATGGGTTCACAGGCACGTTCAGATGGTTGCTCACACTCAGCAGCAATCTCTGATTCCCAGGACTTGAGTTGGGTGTGATGTATCCAGGAGTCCAGGCCTGCCACCTTGACTGCTGATGGAGTAGACAGGATCATGGTGTATGGTCATTCCCAAGTTGGCCCTGTTCGCAGTCATGTCTGTCAATTTCCTCCCTTTCTGGTAGAAAAATGGCAGAGTTTAAGGAGGAACATGTCCTTATTTGAATGGCTGGTCCTTCAAGAAGTAGAGCCTAATATTTAAGAAGTTGGTAATCTGACAGACATAAGCTCCCTTTGGATGAAAAATTCCTGCCACATGGTGGAGGGTATATAAAGTGAGATCTTTGCCTAAAATCAGCTTGAATGCCTCTGTAGTTAGGAGAGCTACTGCAGCTATTGCTCTAAGAAATGCAGGCTCTCTCTTTGCTACAGTATCTGGTTCATGACTTAGATACCCTACAGGCTGTTGAGCAGGTCTTCTATCCTGAGTAAGCACTCCTGAAACCATTCCCTGTCTTTGTCAACATACAGATTGAAATGGTGTCCTGTCAGTAAGCTCAGTGCAGGGGCATTTAAAAGTGCTTATTTATGCTTCTGGAATGCAGTTCGGGAATCAGGTTTCCAGGTTAAAATATGGGTATCTGTCTTTTGGCTTTCTTTTATAGACTGAGAGAGGTCATGCAATCTCACCATACCCTGCTATCCAAATGTGATAAAACCTGTAATTCCTAGGAATCCCCTTAGCTGTTTTATGGTCTTAGACAGTGGGAATAAAAGTATTTCTTTAATTGTTTCTTCCCCTGGTCTTCAGGTTCACTTAGAAATTATAAGTCCTAAATATTTTTCCTAAAGGGTACAAAGTTGTGCTTTAGGTCTAGAAGCATTGTAACACCTGTCTGTGAGAAAATTTAGCAGAGCACTGGAACCTTGGCTAGAGAGTTCTTCTAAGGGGGCACATACCAGTATATCATCTACATATTGTAAGACTGTGACCTGGGGAAACTCAAAACATGCCAGGTCGTGGGAAAGCACTTGTCCAAAAAGGTGAGGACTGTCTCTGAGTCCTTGAGGAAGTACAGTCCAGGTAAGTAGAGAAGCCTTATCAGGAAGATTTTCAAACACAAAAAGGAACTGAGAATTGGAATGTAAAGGAATACAAAAGAAGGGATCTTTTAGATCTAACACTGAAAATAAACAGGCATCTTCATTGATCTGAGGGAGGAGAGTGTATGGGTTAGGTGTCACTGGGTAGGTTGACACTACTGCTTCATTTACCAATCTAAGATCTTGTACAATCTTCCTTTCTCCATTGGGTTTTTGGACTCCCAAGATTGGAATGTTGCATAGGCTATTACAGGCTTTAAGTAAACCTTGTGCTCTTAGGTTGTCAATTATAGGCAATAATCCCTTTTGAATCTCAGGCCTCTGGTGAGGAAAAATAGTAGGATCTTTGAGATGAACCTGTATCAGGTCGGCATTTATTGCCCTTCCTATTTTACCTATAGTTGCCTACACTTCAGGATTTATTTATGTTTCTACAAGAGGGAGGCAGTGTACCTGACCTGGGTGCATGTAGATTACAGTATGTAAACAGGATAAGATATCTCTCCCCAGGAGGGGTACAGGATTTTCAGGCATAATTAAAAAGGAATGAGTGAGGAGAAAGCCATCCCAGTTACAATCTAAGGGTTGAATAAAATAGCAAGTTACCTCCTCTCTAGTTACTCCTATTACTGATGTATGATGGCTGGAAGGAAGGCCAGGGTTGAAGAGAAGAATAGAGAGAGGGTTATCAGTGTCCAGCAATAGGCTTATTTCTTTTCTCTCTATAGTCATGATTACCCGGGTCTCCTCCATGAAGATGAAAGTCTGGGCAGAGGGAGAAGGAAGAGAGTGTCCTTCGGCCCTCCAGCCTTTTTGGACCAACTGGAAGGATGGGTCTGAACTCTGGGGTCTTCACCTCAGAAGGCAAGCTGACCTCCAGTGGTCACCTTTACAGTAAGGGCATGGTCCAAGAGGGCTTTTGTTACAATCCTTCTTGAGATGGCCTGGCTTTTTGCAGCAGTAGCAAATAGGTTCAGTTGTTCAGGTTTTCTTGGAGCCCTGACAATCAGACCTACAGTCTGTTTCTCTTAGAGCTGCTGCTAAGGCTGCCACATTCTCTTGATTCCAGTTTTCTTTCCCTGGTCTCCTCCTTTTCTTGATTGGAAAATACAGAAGAAGCAATTTTTAATAAATTATTAAGTGAGTTGTCTGGAGAAAAAGCCATCTTTTGTAATTTTTTCCTGGGCCAGACTGTGTAATAAACATATCCTTAGGAATAATCTGCCCTGTGCTGGGGATTTAGATCAGTGGTTTTGCTGCCTGGTACCAAAAAAAAAAAAAGAAAAAAAGCAACAACACAAGAATGATCTGTCCTTCTGTTGATTCAGGTGCTAAGGATGTACGTTTTATCAATGCCTCTTGTTACTTATCTAAAAATGCAGAAGGGCTTTCTTTTCATCCTGTTGAATAGTTGCTAATTTAAAATAATTAAGGGGCATAGATCTTGGCCTTCTTAGACCTTCAAGGGTACACATTCTGAAATATCTCCTATTATAATCTCCTGTCTGGTTAGTAGACCAGTTGGGATCCTGTGTGGGGACTGCTTTGGCTCCAGTAGGGATCATCTGCTCCCCAAGCTGTCTGTTCTGGCTCCCTAAAATTAATAACATGATATTTGTCTCCATACACAATGGCAGCTTGTAATGCTGCTTGTTTTTCATTAGCATTCAATGTTTGATTTAAACATAACGTTACATCTTTCCAATCTAATTCATAGGTTTGTGTAAGTCCCCTAAAGACCTCAATGTACTTATCAGGATTATCTGAAAACTTTCCTAGGTCTTGTTCCATCTGTTTGAGGTCACTGGGAGAAAAAAGCATATGGACACTGCTTGCCCAAATCCACAACTTACTTCTTGTAAGAGATATTGTCCTTGAAGTGTTTGAACAAAATTAGCTATGGGTGGATATAGTTCTCTAGATGTTTTAATTATAGCTGGCTTGGGAATTTCACTCTTAGATTCTAAAGCATGGGGGGAGGGATCTCAGGCTCTAAAGTGCAAGTGGGAACAACTTCAAATTTGGTGGTAGGTGGATCTTTCACTGGGATTACCTCAGAAATTTGTCCTCAGGGTCCAAAAGTTGAAGGCTGAAAACCTCAGGTTTAGTAATATGGATGAGAGGAGTCTGGTTTTCCTGCAGCTTATATTTATACTTTGAACACAAATCAGGATTATCTTTTAATGCCAAAAAGATCTGGACATAAGACAGTTCTGACCATTTTCCCTCTTTTTTACATTATACTTCTAGTTGTTAAATGTCATCATAATTAATTAATACTTCCCTCTGCATTCCATCTTGACTCTAGAGGATAGGCAGTCCTAGCATGTTTGCATAAGAATATTAGGCTGCTTTTCCCCAGTATGTGAGGTTTGAACTTCTGCCAGTGTTTTAGAATATATTCCAAAAGAGTAAGAGATTTTGACTTGGCATTCCCCATATTCTGGAAAGAACAAACAGAAACAAGGCTTCCCTATCCTGCTGATTGATTCCTTATGCTCCTAGAGCATCCTCTAGGATCACAGCTCCAGGGCAGGGGGCTGCCATCTGGAGAGATTCCAGAAGGTAAATTGGACTGGAGCAGCCACCCTTTACCAGCATGCAGTCTTACTTTCCCCAGGGAACTTGTGTTCTTACTCCCCTATGTATTTCAAAGGCCTAAGATAGAATTGACTTTAGTTGTAAGATTATGTCTTTTGGAAGAAAACATTGTTAGCCAAACCAATAATCAAAAGTATCTAAGTCACTGTTTTCTAAATCTCTGAGAATGAGGCAGATAGATTAATGTGTCCTGCCTTTTTTTTCTGCAAAAGAGATTACTTTTAGACACAGAAGCAGACAAAAGCCTCAAGGGATCTTTGCCCTCAAAGAAAACCACCGAGTCAGCTGTGCTGTCTTATCACCCAGGTAACCTTCTCCAGCAGCAATACAAAGACTGTGCATTTTTGAAAGTTCACCAGGCACACTCATCAGGCCTCCACAAGCACATAGAAGAGAAAATCTTGTTGATATCCCTTTTATTCCTAGTTAGCAAAGCACAAATGCAAACCTTTTCTCTGTTAGTTGTTACATCTAAGGCCTCCTAGATAGGTGCAGTCTAGTAGCAAAGCAGCCAAAGAGTTCTAAAGTTAATTCCCAAGAGCTTCAAAGTTTCTAGCCTATTAAAGATTTGTCAAACAACCTCTACCAAGTTACTGTTTTCTATTTGTGTCTATCTTATTAGCAGAGAGAGAACAGTCCCATGCTGTAGCTCAATTCTTCACATAGGCTTGAGAAAGGGCCCTACCAGCATCATTTCAGGTCACTGAGACAGAGGATATCTGGTGATCGCTGAAAGGGTTACCTTTCACCTCACTGAGGAGTCCAGTTAGGGGACAACAGTTATGTGGAGATTTTCCTATGGATTCAGACTGCCCAGAGCCAGTTTCCACTGTGGGACCTTCAAGCACCTGCCAGAGTAGCCCTGGCTACAACCTCTCAGTTGTCACTGCAGTTTTCACTAGTTCCACACAATCAGAGATCTGTCTCTGGAAAGGAATCTAGCTGCCTGTCTTGCCAGCATTTAGTCTACAATTTATTAGTCAAAGTGTTTTTCTCATTCATACATGATAAGAGCCAGATTGATTGAGAGAGAGAGAGAGAGAGAGAGAGAGAGAGAGAGAGAGAGAGAGAGAGAGAGTGAGAGAAGGTTCTCCTTTAAACTAAATGTATTTTGGTCCCTTAAGTATTGTGCTTATGGAAATAGCTCCTTCAGGTTTCACCCAGAAGTCCGTTCTTTCCACAGGTTCTCAGGTGCAGTCTCCCAAGGAAGGCTGTTGCTCAGAGCACTAAGTTGGGGCATTACATTCATGTGCTCTCCTGGATGGACAAAACCTCAACATCTCATCTAACTCAGAGACAGGGTACATTTCCTGATCTAAAATGACTTCCCTATCCTCAGCATTGGCAAAAAATGCTCATTGTCTAAGGACTTAACTTAAAGGTTCTTAGGAGAAAGACACTGAGTACTTCAG